TTCCTTAACAGCAACCCAGGAAGATTCGACTCCATTATTGCGAAGCTCACTGCAGAGATTGAAGATGAAAAGGGCTTCCTCAAGCATCTGCACACCTAATGGAAACCATAGGGATTATGTGGGGTCTATATAGGGGTTATATAGGGATTATAGGGATTATATAGGCATTGCATAGGGATTATAGGGTTATATAGGGATAATGGAAATGAAAATGGAACCTGCTATAGAGCGTCCTGGAAGCCAATGCTGAGGCCACGAACCCCAAAATATCAGGTTGGACCCCGGGCGCGAAGCGCTGGTGTGTTGTGCAGACGCCTCTGGCACCAAAGCTGTGCAGTTGTTTGCAAACGCTCTGGCATAGTTTCTGCGACGGACAAAAAGGGCTGCCTAGTCTATTAGTTTTCAAAAGCCCAAGCACGAGCTTCTTTGGAAAAAATCACGAAAGAAGCAGACGGCAGCCGGTGTGCAAAGGGCAAGGGTTGACGACGTCTTTGCAGTACTAATAGTAGTAGAAACAGCGAGAATAGCAGCAGTACTAATAGGAATAAGAGTAGCAATATTTCTTAATAGTAATAAAAGTAATGATTCTCAGCCATCCCAAGCTGCAGGTCTATGGCCCTGAAACGCACATCACAGCCACTTGGTCTCAGCATGGGGGGCATCAAAGTGGAACTGAGGTTTAGGGTTGAGGGTTTTAGTGTGTAGCGTTTAGGGTTTAGGACGAGTTGGATTGGAGTCTGGAGGTCCTGTTCTAGCAAATTCTACAATGGGTCAGGCAGGAGGGACAGTATAAATTACGCGACTGATTACTTTGCCTTTCAGCATGCTGTAATCTTTTTCTCGCAGCTGATTGAGTAGCGCACGCTGCAAGTCAGCTCGTGACTTACAACATTCCAGCAACGTGCCGGCAGGAACATGCAAATTATGGCATGGCGCTTGATCATGTGTTGTCATGCTCCCCTTCGTCATGCTTCAGCATTATAATCTCGCACAAGCTGACAGCAAGCATTAGCAATCCTTATGAAATCTGATGAAGCCCGCAGAGAGTACATCCAAGACACGAAGAAATATTATGAAATGCCGCGACCTCTGCAGATTCCCATCACCCCCGAGGCGGTGGTGCCCATGGCGCTTGGCCTCACGTCGGTACTACCCGAGCCGGAAGCTCGGAAGGGTCCCAGGGCCTTTGCAGCTAGATCATGTGATCTACATGGGTTTAGGGTTTATGTAGCCTCATGTCGGAAGTAATTACCAAGACTTAGGGAGGATTGCCTTCATTTAGAGTATGATGACCTGTACCCGTCCCAGCTCAGAATAAGGCAAGACGTGCTAAGCTCATCCAGCTTGGATCAGTGAATTTGGTATTACTGGTCGATGTTAGGGATCCTTTGGGTTCATTATCTTTATGTCAAAAGGGTCCAGTTTTCTTGCTAGGGTAATGTGCGCTAAGATTATGTGTGTGGCAAAGCGAGGCGAGAGCCCCCCGAAGCAGTAACCCCAAAGAAGGGAACCATCATGAACTTCGCCTGGGCCTTTCTCAAAATGGTTATGTGCCTAAGCCTTAAACCCCTAAACCCCTAAACCCCTAGCCCCTCAACCCCTGAACCCCTAAACCCCTAAACCCCTAAACCCCTAAACCCCTAGAACCCCTAAGCCCTAAACCCCTAACCCCTAATCTCATCACTCTTTGGAGACCTTAGCCTAACGAGGCCCGACCTGACTGCCGGCTCGGCTCCCCCTCCGAAGCGGGAGCTGATAAAGGCAGCTGAACGGAGTTTAGGGTTTAGGGTTT